GTGGTCCAATATCTGGAACAGGTAGTGGGATAGCTAGACCCAATCTTTGGACACAGCCCTGCTCTTAGGAACTTCCCTAGATAGTCCTCCAGTGGGAAATGTCTGAGCATGAAGAGGCAAACCTCCAACATATATGATGAATAATCATAATAAACACTGATTGAAAAGCCATAACTGCCCACCTACCTACAAGATCTAGGAAGAGCTATTAGTCCCGTAAGTCAGGCTTCGGTAGTACATGAATAGGAATCACACAAAATAAAGCTAGAAAGGTAGTTTGGAGTCAGATTGAAGAATATCTCAAATGCCAAGCTAAGGAATACATATTTTATCCCATATATATGAGGAAGGTACAAAAGAAACTCTCCAGAGGTATAACATCAATTAATTAATCAATAAGCATTTGTTAAATACCTACTATACTGTATAAGCACTGGAGATAGGAAGATAAAAAACAGAAAGCAGTCCAGCCTTAGGAGCTTACACTCTATAATGGGCCAGTTTGTATGCAGCCTTAGCTTCTTGTAGGATGTCCTACAGCATTGTGTGAGTAACCTCAGACACCTAAGAGGACCAATGAGGTTAGAGTAGATGATAAGGCTAGGTTCATAGTCAGGGGTGAAGCTCAAGAACAATAAATAATTAAAATAACTAAAACTGGGGCAAATTATGGTAGAGGGGGCATAAGAGAGGCATAAGAGGATGGACAGGAGGAGTACTTAGCTGTGCATAGATAAATCCACAGGGTATGAGGGGGGAAGTTTGGGAGGAAGAAAGCAACAGCTCAGATGGTAGTCTGGCTTAGTGATAGGGCAGAGAAAAGGACCACTGAGGAAGTTTTGAGGACAGTCCCACTGAAAGTATAATCACGTCAAGAGGAATATCTAGCCTGTCTCCCAAAGTGCTTTGCCTAAGTATTTATGTACTTTTTGTTCTGTGAAGTTTGGATTCAGTCAAAGGGCTGCACTTGAGGACCTAAAGTGCCACATGTGGCCTTAAGGCCGCAGGTTCCCCATGCCTGGTCTAGTGATTTTAAATAGTCTAAAACAATATTGATTAATATGGCTGACACATAGTGTAGTTTCCTTATTTTTCTCCTTCGATTAAATCTATTTTAGCTTTAACTTTGACTGAGATCATGATTACGATCCCTGTTGGTTTTTTCCTAATAAATTCTACTCCTGATCTTTATTTTATGTTTGTGTGTATTTCTTATTTCATATCTCTCCTGATTCCTCTACTTCTACTCTCTACCTTGCTCTACTATTATTTAACCTACCACCCCGCAAACATCCCTCCCTTATCCTCTCCCACCCAACTCCTTCTCTTTACCCTCTTGTTTCTATCTGAATTTAGAAGACTTTTATAGCCCTCCACATATATTTGTTATTCCCCCTTTAACCCATTCCAATAAATCTAAACATTCACATTTTAATAGCTTCAGTAGGATTCAAATTTTCAATGAGGTCTCAGTTCTAATCTTGCTGTTGCCCATCTCAGAATTAAAGATCCAACTCTGCCTCATTATCTCCGAGGCTGGGACAGTGCAGGAAAAGTCATGCTAGAGAGTGAAGACAGCAGAAAAGCTTGAAAGCGTTAGAGACAAGTGTCTCCTCCAGGCTTCCTATTCCCTAAGCTGTATACCCAGAATGATGCAGCCAAACTGGAATTAAGATAGTTCCCTCTCTAATGATGGGGGGAGTTTCAGTAGAGATCCTAGAAACCCAGCAAGTCACTGCTTGCCAAACCTCAAGAGATCATGGGGCCAAGCTAGGTCTGACATACTTTCTCTGGTATAAGTACACTTCACCACAACAAAACATTGATTTCGTCAAAGAACTAATTAGTTAAGTCCCAGGTTCAAGATCACATTCCTTAGCATCACTAGAACAACCCAAGAAACTTTTGTAGAATTAACATTGTTTCCTATATCCCTGACCCTCACTTTTTTTTTGTTTGTTTGTTTTGTTTTTTTCGATTTGTTTGTCTTTAAAGCATGACCATGGCAGCGAACGTGGAATGAGGTCATTATAGGAGGCAAGTGGGAGTAGGTGTCCTGCGTAATCTACTGAGCTTTTCCTGGGAACTCAGACAGCCTGAAATACTGAGCTCTAGCTTTGTATCTGACCTCTTTGATTAAACTACTTTATCTTCCCTTCTTGTATGATCCTGTTGCTTCCTGGACCTGACCTCCAGTTTTGGACCTGTCTGGGATAATTAGTTATTTTGGATAGAGCCCTTGGCATCCTTACAGGCAGGTAAGGGCAGGAGAAGAAAAGTAGGCTTGATAATATTGAGCAACAAAACCAAAACAAAAAGATTACATTTTCCCCTGCCACACTCATAAAAATAAAAAAACTTATACTATTTTTGTGCTGATTTCAAATATGGCTTTATGTTTTTGTCTATCATTCATACTTTTCAAAGGAATCACAGTTTTATGTTTTTATTTTTTTATTGGAGGACAGGAACAAACATTAATTAAATACATATTATGTGCCAGGCACTTCTAACCCCCTTTTAAATATTATCTCATTTGATCTTCTCCATAACCCTGTGAGGTAGGTACTATTATTTTCCCCAATTTACAGTTGATGAAACTGAGGCATATAATGGTTGAGTAACTTGCCCAAAGTCACAAAGTTAGGAAGTGTCTGAGGCTAAATACCTAAAACTCAGCTATTATAGCACTCTATTGGGCCACCTCACTACCCATTTAACTTGTATAAAATTTAGCTTTTGAAAATTCCAAATGTATTTCATCGGTGGAACATCCCTCCTCTACTTCTAACATGATTGGACTTCACTTGTCCTGATATTCGTTTCCTATTGCAAAGATTGTTTGATGAAATAATTCCCCTTAACCCTTAGGTCTACCAGGACAAAGTGCGAATGTGAATATAAGACAATGAAGCTTGAGTGACATGTTACATCCCATAACTTTATACGCTTTGAAAAAGTCACTAATAATTTCTTTATAATTTTCTTCCATATGGTTTCCCCAAAAGTTTTTGGTCACTTTAAAAATATTATTAATATAGACACTTCAACTTCATCCAACTGACCTTCAAAATGTTTACCCTTCATCATACCTTATTTGAGACTCACAAACATTCTCCATTTGAGCTTAGCCTTACTGATTCTTGAAATTTTTTTTAATTTAAAAAAAAAATTTAAACTTGTTTGATCCATTGCAAAAATGTTTATTAAACCAAATTTAATATGCCTTTTTGAGCTACAATTTAGAATCTTAGCAAAATATCTAAGACACTGAGTATTGAATGAATTGTCACAGAGCTAGGGTATGTCAAAGGTATAACTTGAGCCCAAGTCTTTCTGACTCCAAGTCTGATTCTCTATCTAGTATAAACCAATGCCTCTCTAATTTACAATGGAGGCAAGAAAACTTTTTCTGAAATAACTACATTTTTCTTTTCTTTAAAGTCAGTGTTTTTGATGTAGTGATTTTCCTCGTCTTGACTGCCTTATCTGCAAATATATCACTAGAGACCTGAATTGTAAACTGTATAAAAGAGCGGTCACCTTCAGATACCTAACTGTTTGCCAATAACACTCTTCATACTTGGTGCTTTTCAAGAGAAGCTTATTTTTTTAAACATACTTTGGTGCTCTCTTGAAGGATGTATCAACATTTTAAGCTAGAAGCCAAAAGTTAGCTTGATTTGTCGATGTTAAGATCATAAGTATGGCTATTAAGGTCTGTTTGAATTACTAAATGAATGCCTGAAGACAAAAATATTATTGCAGATAGGGGCTCATCACCTTGCTTGTCTCTTACCAAATTTTTCTTGCCAAGTCTCATGATTACAAACCAAAGAATCAATTATATTTTCTCCATCCAAATGCGAAATCCCTGATGTGAAATTTCAGCACAGGCAGTTCTTCACTGTGTAAAATAAGTCTTATAGATAATGTTAGATTTAGATATTATAGAGTATGTTTAGACTTGGATACAATCTCTAATATTTCTAAACAAAAATAGTAATCCATTGAATCCATTCTTCTCTGCAAATCAAAGGAACTACAAAAGTAGTGTGGCAAAATCCATATATCTAGCTAATAAGTAATCTAACATATGTGATATAGCAGAAGTTAGGGGCCCAAACCTTTTCATCATCACCTATTTTCACCCCCCAAAAAATTCAAATGTTTTCTTAACCAGAGAAACAGCATTTCATCTCTCAAATTTAAAAGTTAGTTTACTGCAGGCGTCATAAAAACTATTCAGAAGATGTGTATACTTAAGTAATGAACACCAACATTTACAAAGGACAAAATATTTGCAAAAACGGGATTAGAATATACTATAAATTTTAGTTTAGTAAATACTGCTATGGACAATAATTATATTTAGTAAATACTACTAGGCGTACAACATATATTGAGAATTTCACTGCATAGTAGGTTTACATGAATACATGTGAACCTGGACTCTGCATCACGGCACACAGACAGGGGACTTCACACAGCCAGCTATAGAGTTCTCACTACTCTCCAAACTTTGCAGCACTCTTGACCAAAGTAAACTTTATTAGCACCTCATACTTGAATAATTTATAGCAAGATTCATGTATCACTCAATAATGGTAGGTGATAGAGAAATTCAGTTTTCATTTTAATTAAAATTAATATATATTTATAAAATATGAATGTGACAAAATACTTGCTGAACAGTATAACTGTTGCTATGTATATTTACTATAGTAGTTACCTCAATACTATTTTAATTCACTGCCACATTCACCTTTCTTTGAGTTCACCATCTATTCACCCACTCTCATGAATCCTCATTTTTCTCTTAACCTCTCCCAACCTGAATTAATGTGACATAACAGCAATGTAAAATAAATATATTTAAATAGAATTCAAAGTATATACCAATGAATATGAATCAAGGAGCCAACATTCACTGAGTAAACTACAACCTCAAAAAATTTAAGTAATTGAAGTTGCGAGTCTTGAATTTGTTTCCCATGATAATTTATTAATCAGAAAGGTAAACTCATAATACTGAAAAACAGGTTTTCACATCCATGCTTTCCATATGCTGCTATATCTGTATGTCACTGTTGGGGAAAAAGAAGGATAAATGAGTATTAGTGACTTGCTCAGAAATCAAACTCAAGAGCCTCAGAACCTGAAAGTCATTATATCTTACCACTCTTATCTGTGAAGTACTAAAATCAATGAAGCCATGCTCCTGCATGTGTTAGAATTTAAGATATTAACTATTAAAAGATTAAGATATTAAGAATTTAATATAAAACCAAAAGTTATTCCCCAATAGATAAATGGTTAAAATACATAAACAGTCTCAAAAGAATTGCAAACTATCAACAACCATATGAAAGAATACTCCAAAACACTAAAATAAAAAGAAATGTAAATCAAAACAACTCTAATACTTTCACCTCACCCATAGCAGATAGGTCATTATAGGTCTATAGTTGTCCTTATAGAGGTATTCTGTATTTCCAGTTATGTTCACTAATCATAGCTAGAATTTCATATAGCACTGCAAGGTTTACAAAGAATGTTACAAATACATTATTTTATCCTCATGATAACTGTAGAAGGTAGGTATCTTATTATCCAGATTTTACAATTGAGGAAACTGAAGTAGACAGATGATAAGTGACTTGCCCAGTGTCACAAAGCTAGTAAATATACAAAGCTAGATTTGAACTCAGAACCTCCTGACTCCAGACCCAGCACTCTATCCATATATCACCTAGATGGTAAAAATGACAAAAGATGTTAGAGGGATTGTAGAAAGACAAACATAATGATACAGTGCTGGTGGCGTAATGAATTAGTATAGTTAATCTGGAAAGCAATTTGGAATTTGGTAAATAAAGTGACTAAAATGTCCATAACCTTTGACTCAGAGATCTCACTGCTGGGTATATACCCCAAGGACATCTTTAACAAAAAGAAACATTCCATAGGCACCAAAATATTTATAGCATCATTTTTATGGTAACAAAGAACTGGAACTAAGTAGATGCCCAAGGATTTGTGAATGACTAAACAAATCATGGTACATGAATGTAATGGACAGAGAAGCATATCACAATTTATATGAATTAATGCAAAGTAAGAAGAGCCAAGAAAATAATATTCACAATTACTACAACAATGTAAATAGGAAGAACCACCAAAAATAATCAAAATTGAATGAAGGAGTCCTACCAAATTCCTTTTACAACAGAAATATGATGCTGATACCTAAACGAGGAAAAACAAAAACAGAGAAAGAAAGCTATAGAACAATTTCCCTAATGAACATTCATGCAAAACTTTTAAATAAACTTCTAGCAAGGAGATTATAGCAATATATCATAAGGATCACACATTATGACCAGGTGGGATTTATACCAGGAATGCATGACTGGTTCAATATTAGGAAAACTATCAGCATAAATGATCATATCAATAACAAAACCAACATAAATCATATGATTTTGAACCTATAAATGTATTCTAACATTTAAAAAGTTAATTTAAGCTGTAATATGGATAGCAGTAAAACAAGCAAGAGATAAGCAAACCATCAATATGTCTTCTTTTCTTCCTATAGCATTATTCTAGGAAAACATCATCCTAAAATCATCATTTCATGCAACCATAGGAACTCAAAGAAGCAAAATACTAACTGGAATTAAGAAGCTGATTCCAAATACTAGGCTAATATCAAGGACTAATGGGAAGTGCCTCCTCTTGAGAAGCAGTGCGGACTACATGTGTGCGGCTGCCAGAAGACTCCACTCTCTGTAAACATCAGCAATTCTGATTGTTTCCGACTGAAGTAAAACCTGATATGCTATTGCTTGCTCTGCCCTTGAATCTGTTCCTCTTCATCTTTTGCTGGGTGCTCTAATTTTTAGAAACGCTTATGTACATTTTCCAATTTTGTGCATTCTCTTTCTTGCATTTACCTTCCTAGAAATGGATTGGGGCAAGGGAGAAAACCTGGCTGTCATCCAGACTTGGTTGACCTCTAATAGCTCTGCTGACTTTTGCTGGTGCTGGTGAACTCCATGAACTGTTTTCTGACATGCACTAACCTCTCCAGGAACATCTCTATGGCACATAGCTAAGTGAATAAAAAAGATTTTCCTGGTGCAACAGTGCTATCCTGCCACTTCATGATAGGAGATGGAATATCTGCTCTAACAATTGTCTATTCATGATGAATTTCACAGACAGAAAACAAGAATATGAAATACAGGAGAAAATGAGCACTTGAGGAAAAATAATGTGTTCTATCTGTTTCAGGAAGGACAAACTGAAGGAGAAATCACACCTCCATGTTGTACTCAGCAAGACAAAGTGTTTTTGACTACACATCCTATAAAGGGCCTCAGAGCATGAGACAGCTTTCCTTCAGCCCCCATGCCCTTCTGTTGCCACTATCACTCCACTTCTAAAATTATGAATTCCTTTGGCTGGGAAAGAAGGAATATGCCAGGAGCCAAGGTTAATTTTAATTTTGTTATGACAGCACTTCAGAAATCCATTTTTTTCTAAAATGAAAATATATTTTGAATCACGAAGAAGTGAAAGAAGGCTAGGCCATGCTATTTCTAATATTTCTATCCATTTGGACGATGGAATTCTAATTTTTTTATAAATCGATATAGGTAGATGGGTAGAACTGTATGATATTAATGATTTTAGAATTAAAGATCAGAGTTGAGATTGGTTCTGAGCAGATTTAGATACTATTATTAGCATCTTAGCTTTTGGAACTGAAATATAACCATTAAGATTATTTCACAAATACAATATATTCATTCTTTAGTACTTTGATGAATATATGACCTTATTAAGGGGAGCACTCACTTCTTGCAGAATCACAGAATCTAAGTTGGTATGGACATTACAGACAATCAATTCCAACCCACACTTCATGAACAATCTCTTCTATCTGTAACACTTTCCCAAGAAATGGTCATCTAGCTTCAATTTGAAAAAGTCCACCACTGAAGTTTCTAACCTATCTGTATCTTTAGATACAGAATGACTTTTTTCCCTATCCTCCTATAAAACTTCTGTAACCCTGGGTTCAAACTTGGAGCATTTACGTAAGCCCTTCTCACTGATAGAGAGTATGATGACTTGACTCTCTTCCATTGTTAGGGGCAGAGTTAAAGAGAAGAGGGACCCGTATCATTCTTGCTTCAAGTAAGGACACATATGGTTCCAGACCCTCTTTGTGGAAAAATCTGAAGTGAAAGAGAATGGATTTTGGAAGTCAGATATATAGGGGAAAGCCAGCTCCCCAGAATGTCCTTGATTTTTAACTAAACTCCCCAGAGATTTCAAGTTTCCCCTTTAGTGAAATCAGAAACTCTCTCTCAGTCCAGGTGAGGTATCTTGCCCTGAGTAGAGGTCATTTACTATGTATATTGTCTGGTATATTCTGATCTGTATAATTTATCTGGTTCTGTTTGCTATGTGCTTAGATAAGAGATTACTCACTAATTACTATTTGTAACCATCTTTGGTGTTGCTAGAATTTGGTGAAAAGGAGTCATGCCTTTGAAAATAGAGGAAGCTCTTTAAGGGGTAGTAATCAGAAAAAACAGCTTGAACCAACAAAAAACAATTTCCCCTAGATTATCAATATTTAGGGACAAAGACAGATATAATTCTAGTCCTATATGCCTTCTCACATAACCTACCTAGACAACACACACCTTACACTTTAATGGAGGACCTACCCAATATTATCGTGGCTAGTTTTAGGGATTATAATATTTCATGGATGCCAGTGTGACACTTGAGCTCTTCATCTCTCACTCTTGCTACATAACCAACTCACCTTCACTTTTGTTCACAGATAAACTTGGAGATGTTTTTATACCAATTCTTGCATGTCAGCCATTTTTATAAAGACGTTGCAGCTCATTCATAACCATCACACATCTCACCATCTCACCATTGCCTTTGAAGTAACTGCAATTTTAATTCTTCAGTAGAAAAAAAATGGTGTTAAAAATGGACTTTAGTGATAGATAACAGCCTGAGATGACTGAAAGTTATCAGGATCATTTCAAAGCATTATAGTATTGCAGATAGTGGACTAAACTTGAAGTCAGGAATACCTGGGTTTGAATTTTGCTTCTGATACTAATTAGTTGTATATGACCATGGACAAGTCACTTAAACTCTCTAATTTTCCTCATCTGTAAAATAGATTAAATAGGCTAAAAGGTCAATCATTTCTGAATAACTATTATCTAATAAGCATTCTGGAGCTGGAGCTTCACTGTGTAGAATTTATGGTAAATCTGTTCTATTTCCCATCTATTTGTACTTCTTCCAGTTTCATCAATAAATGCTTTCAGTATGTTCTGGCTTAGTTGGTCCTCTTGCCAATTCTTTTTATAGGCTTTGTAGACATTTAATAAATATTTAATTAAGACTTGCCATGTGGAAACCACTAAACTAGTCATAGTGGATCATAAAATATTATAGTTGGAAGGCACCTCAGAGACCAATATCTGAAAAGAATACCCTACTACAACATCCCTTACAAGCCTTTGCTTCACCTCCAGTGAAAAAGAACTTATACTTTCAGACATAGGCCATTCCCCTTTTAGACAACATTAAATGTAAGGAAACTTTTCCTTATATTGAATCGAAATTTATTTCTTTGCAATTTCCACTTATTGCTCCTAGTTCTGCCCTAGAGGACAAGCAGAAGAACAAAGTCTAATTTCTCTTCCACATGACAGCTCTTCAAATACTTGAAGGTAGTGATTATGTCTTCCTTAATTCATTTCTTTTTCAAGTTTCTTTAAAATGTTCTTATGGCAGTGAGTAGAGAAGACTTAGGAGAGGCTTGATAGCAGCCTTCAAATCCTTAAAGGGCTGTCATGAGAGAAAGGGATTAGACTTGCTGTACCTTTAAAGGCAGAACTAAATATAATGTGGGCAAGTTTTAGATAGGCAGATTGTGGTACAACGTAAGGAAAAATGTTCTAACAATTTAAGCTGTACAAAGAATAGAAAAGGCTATCTCAAGAGGGAATTGGGATCCCTTTACTGGATGTATTAA